TGGTGGCTAGGGTTGGCGGCTAGGCTCTGATACCATGAAGAAATTGAGAAACCCTAATTTTATTAATGAGATAACATGGGCTTATATAGACCCCAATAAACACATCTTACAAATAACCCCCTTAACTATACTAATATGACAACAGTTACAAGTGTCAAGGATATAGATACGTTGCTACCATCTGTACAACCCCGTTTAGAGTTAAAATTAATAAGCCGCCTATAACTGAATCAAAATCTATTCTTGAGGAAACCGTTAACCAGGTCGTAGAATTGACAGAATCTAACTCTGACAAGAGAATCCGGGATAGTAAAATTGAAGAACCACATACTTCCATTTCTTCAGAAACTACCCCTGCAATTGTGGAGTTGACTGAAGTTTCATGCAATGACAACACTCTGATTATTCCCCAAGCTACCCCTTTGATCACGGAGTTCACTGATAGTGATGTTATCTCTGAAGTTGTTCCTGAAATTGAAACTCCAACTCTTTCTGAACTCACTCTAATGATTGAAAACGTTGTTGATGTTCCCCACGAAGTCCTCCCGGACAAACATGAACCTATACATGACACCCAATACGTTCCTGGCTTAGTTCCTAAAGCGAATCACTCAGATATCTGTATGGAAGTTAACTCACAAACTGAGCATAGTAAAATAACTACCATATTTTATATCAAACCACCATGCATTGCCTCGACAGTCACTCACACATATACTGATCTATTTTTGGAATATATAGTGATTAGGGATACAAGTTTGAGCACGAATGTTTTTATTGATATTCGACCTAAGCTTGACATTTTAGATGAACTGCATACCTTGCAGAGTATTTCCTTTCTCTCTTATGTTAAGCGCACAAAAGCACTCATCTTTCATGCATTTGTTTGCATGTTCCTCGCTTTCACTATTAGAATAGGAAATTTGTTATGCATATTAACGAAGCAACGCCTAATTATTCCATTTGATAGAAGATGTCATGCATGTTAGACACTTCGTTGAGTTTACATCTGTCATTGATCGCATTATTTGAGTCTGCACTTCATACATAGTCATTTGAGTTGATTTAAATCATTTTGTTTTGATTTGCATTGATCATATATTGGGGAATCAGTGATCTAATTTGAATAAATACATTGTTAACTAAAATGTAGGATATGAAGTCAGGACATAATTTAAAACTGTTAATGTTGATATTTGAGATGGTTTGGACTTGTCCAATACAATTTTTTTTATAACTGTTTGTGATTTGACATGATATTTATGAACTTTCTCTTGAAATAATTAATGGCAATATTTATATTATCGATTTGGTCATAGTTCCATTCTCAATATTGATTGATTAAGCAGTGCATAATGTTTATTGACAATCCACTGATATAAACCTGACCCTAGCACATTGTTTCTAAGAGTTTTTTCACTTTACCTCACTTCTATATATTCACCCATGCAACAATGAATTTTGATAATATTCTAGATGGTGAATTTACGATGAGATCTAGCTAATGATTTGAGATGCAGGAAAGTAACTGGTGGTGGATTAAGATGCAG